AAAGAAGACTCACATTTGGATGAAGTTACGGATTACGCACCATATGCCAAATTTGGTCACATATAACTAACTAAAGGAATTAAAAGTTCTCTACTAAACTTCAAAGTTCCTAATAAGTGGTCCAATTTGGCTAAAGGCTGGACTGAGAGTTTTCATGGGTAAAAGTAAAAGAAAGTTAACTTAAAATCTTCTTGTAAGACAAATACACTCGAAAAATATTATGGAAAAAAGTGAACATGAAGTCAGATACTCCAAACCAGGCAAGAGCACTAAAGAATTCTGTGCCGTTTTCTAAAAAATATCAAAAAATACTGCGAATAAAAACGTTCTAATTTTGCAGGAAAAGTATGCACTTGTGACTACACCTTTCAAAAATTACCGGAGTCGTCTTAATTTACGAGCAGCTTCTAAAAGCAGCACGATTATACTAAATTATTGTAGACAAGCTCTTTCACTCGAACACAGATTCAGAAGTGGGAGAAGAATTTCTCTAAGCGAATTACCATAGCCGCAGAATATGTAGTGAATATGCAAAATTCTCCAGATTTCCAGAAACATCACTGAATATTGATGAGTAAAAAAATATGGTGAAAGATGAACAACCTACGTAAAGCACAAATATTTAAGTCTGTAAAATTAGGAAACTCATACTGCTATCAATAAGTCGACTCGCTTATAATTTTTTTTTCTTCAGCATCTTAATGTATCTGTAGTTACCGGGAAAGCCAAAAGATGTCGCTGAAGAGAAAATGCATGAAAGAACATTAATAAGCAACGGAAGACGACACAAGCATGGATCAGAACTTTAACTATACCTCAAAACATAGGAAAACCTTTACGCATCGACTGTAGTTTAATCTTTTCCTCAGCTGTACAATGATTAAAGAAAAGAATTACAGGAACAAAAACTCGAAATCTTTTTGCACCCCTATCCTTCAGCAGTGTCTCACCCACTGGCAGAAACTGCGGTTCCTGTTAAACAGCAAAGAAAGTCTGCAGCTGAACAGGCTAATTTAACGCTTAGTCGTATATGCGTGAGAAATTTAAACTGCGATGTACCAGAGGAATTGATAGATCTGTGTGGTTGGCAATTTGACAATAAATCTCTCTTGCTTTTTGGTTTGTGTTTTGACCAATTCCTGCAAGTTTCCTCCTCTCTCAGGTCAGTTCTAATGAGATATAGGGTTTTAGAACAGTTCTTCCGGCGCAAAAACATATTCGGATTTCCTGTTAACTATAGGTTTTGTTTGCATTGGAATAACTGATCCCTCTCAACTAATAATGTGCCCCTTTTAAACATAGCGTTTACTTGTGCCGTCTAAGGGACCTTTTAAGGGTT